TATATATATATATATATATATATATATATATATATATATATGAATATTTTTAGGAATATATAAATAAGACTTTTTATTATAATTTTTTACATATAACATTCATGTAGTAGGTAATTTAATGTAAAACCTTGTTAAAATATAGGATTTTAGAAGTGATTAATACATATTATTTTAGAAGTGCACTTTGAGAAAACTTTAGCCGGACGTTTGGCTAACAAGTTGTTACAAGCACATGCTTTTAATATCATAACACCAAATAGAGTACACACTATTTAGCCTTTTCATTTGTTTCCATTTAGATAGTAAAGAAAAAAAAACATGCATCCAGTAACAAGCATATAGAAAAACTTATTCATTTATATTTAACTAAGGTTACAAAGAGCTTATTAAAGGAAAAGACTAAATTACACAAAATAAAAGCTAGTTCACTATGATTGTAAAATAAAATTAAAAGATAAAAATACATATTTCATTTATGCATTATTTATTATGAGATGATTGAGAAGCTAACAATGAGTCTTTCTTTCTTTTGATTGGACAATTTTGTGAGTCATGATCGGTTCCACCACAGTTAGGATAATGACAACGACGAGACTTCTTTGCAGCTTCAACTCCTCCTTTTGGCCTTGATCTCTTGGTCTTTCGTTTTACAAGTGATAAGATTTTCAGCATCACACTCATCAACATTTAGAACACCGTGTTCTAGATCAATTGATTTTTCTTGAACTTCAAGCATACTTTTTAAATAGTGAATGACTTTCTTTAACTCTTTAGTATCTACTTCAACTCGATCTATGATCTTTAAAGATTCAACTTCTAAACATTGCACAAGTGATCAAAACTCAACAGAGGAGTTATCATTAGTTGATTATGTGTCTTGATCGTGGGATCAATGAGCTTTCTTTTCTCCATCGAGAAGGAAGATATTCTTTTGGAATGCTAAAATAGTCATTCTTCAACAATACTCGAATAATATGTCTACATAGTATCCCAGAAAATTCAAATTCTTTACAAGAACAATGAATTGAATTTTTTTTCCTTTATCCAAGTTACAGAACAACCTCCATCAAGTTTGGTATGATGTCGCACCGACTAAGAGTCATTGTCAATCACAGTTGTTGAATATTTTGTAGATAACTCAATCTCATGTTGAAGCAACTCAAAAACATATTTTTTATTTTAAAAAACAACTAATAAAATGATAAATAACTACCTTTTATTTTATTTTTTATTTTTTATTTTTTATTTTAAAAAACAATTAAGATAACTACCTTTTATTTTTTATTTTAAATTAAATTTTAAAATTATTAAAATACCCTTGATTTAAAATATGTTTTTTTAATAAAGATTTTTTTTTAACCTAAACAGAATATTATATCATAATTTAAATTTAATATATAGTTTATATATTCAAATAAGGTTATTTATAGAATTTTAGGTACGAAAAATAAATATTTATTTTATATAATAAAAAAGATAACTAGGTAACTTTGTTTTATCAAATATAATTTTCAAAATTTATAACACTAATTTGTAACAAATTTGAATTAATTACATTCTTTTATATTTAAAATAAAAAAATCTAAAAAAGAGTTTATGGATTGATCTAATCGACAGGATTTTTGTAGATAATTTAGTCTTATGAATTTTTTTTATAAGAAGCTTTATGGTTCTATGAATTTTCTGACATTAATCCACGTGTGTCAGAACCAAACTAGAGAAACCAAATTGACGGATGTAAATATAGAGAATAAGAGATGCCAAACATTGATGCAAAGAACAAAAAAGATGCTCTCAAACACACTGGAACATATAAATATGAAAACTCTTTCATCACTCACGTAACAAAACAGAAGGTTAACATATACAAATACAAGCAAGACAGTAAAAGGCCCATAACAGATAAAAACAAAAAGCAAAATCAAAAACAAAACACAAAACTGTAACTGCTTTCGGCTTCTTTTTGTAATTGATAAGCATGGACAAGGAAGGTCGTGCAACAGTTGTGCCGTGCAATAAGTGTGCAAGCTTATCCTTGTGTCTTTTTTTTCTCCCTTTTTTATTCTTTATTTTTAAATCCAACCATCATAATGTTAGAGATATTTTTTTATTCTTTATTCTATACGCTCCTTTTGTAGGATTTGCACACTCTTACAGTTATCGCGTTCATCTAGATAAATAAATAAGAAAAATCATTTGGCGAATTTTTCAAATTTGTAAGGTGGTGAGCAATAGGGAGGAACAAAAAGCTAAGTGCTAAAGACGAACCAACATTTAAAACTAACCGCTTCTCTGTGCTTAGTATTTTAGGTTTTGATGTCATCATCTGAAGAATAATAAACACTTGGATCGGAATTCACTTGAGGGAATGTCACAGTTATAAAATCTACGACCAATAGATACATAATATAAGCTAAGTCAGATACATAATGAAATGTTCATAGCCTCTAGATGAAGCTGTACAACACACAAAAGCTACCATAGAGTGCCACCCAAATTCAGCAAGAGTCACTCACGCCTCCAAACAAGGTTTCTACTGCATTATGGTCATCTCTTTCGCCGCTTGGGCTCCACCTGCAAAATTCAAAATTTGAAATCCAATAATATAAAACCACAATCCAAAAAGTAAAATGTCACTGTGCCTCAACAATGAACCAACTGTCTACCAACTATTTTGTGACCCCATTTGGTTTGAGAAAAAAAAAATCAATTTTTACTCATAATTACAAAAAGGGCACTTCTCTTTTGCTTATTGGTTTCGAAAGTTTGTTTTTTTTTTAAACACTTTTTCAAACAAAAGGGCATCTGATGAGAGTTTCCAAATTCTGGTAATAAATATCTTACTGAATATAATCAATCATACTCCCATATTAACTTGAGCCTACCACAAAACAGACACGAGGATGAAATTGCATTCATCAGAAATAAATAACCTCACTGTGCCACAGCACCATTAACCCCTCCAAAAATTCAATAGCAATTGATATAAGACATGTAGTGAACAAAATAAATAGCCTACATGTATAACCCCCTCACAAAAGGAAGGTGCTGGTTTTTCATGTTAAATATTGTTAAAATTTCGAGCAGATTAACCAAAGTGAGTGTAACATTGTCATTAGGATATCAATTAAACATCATTGCTAAGCCTATATCTCAAAAGAAAGAAAATTACAGCCTTCAATACATTACCAATGACTATAAAAAGAATACATACCGGCCAGACAACAGTACAACAACTAAAAATAGCATAGGTATACATTTAGCCAACCCACATTAGCAANCTGAATATAATCAATCATACTCCCATATTAACTTGAGCCTACCACAAAACAGACACGAGGATGAAATTGCATTCATCAGAAATAAATAACCTCACTGTGCCACAGCACCATTAACCCCTCCAAAAATTCAATAGCAATTGATATAAGACATGTAGTGAACAAAATAAATAGCCTACATGTATAACCCCCTCACAAAAGGAAGGTGCTGGTTTTTCATGTTAAATATTGTTAAAATTTCGAGCAGATTAACCAAAGTGAGTGTAACATTGTCATTAGGATATCAATTAAACATCATTGCTAAGCCTATATCTCAAAAGAAAGAAAATTACAGCCTTCAATACATTACCAATGATTATAAAAAGAATACATACCGGCCAGACAACAGTACAACAACTAAAAATAGCATAGGTATACATTTAGCCAACCCACATTAGCAATGCAAACAGTGTTTCAGATTAAGGACAGCAAATAAGACAGAACTATGAAAAGTTTGGTATCAAAATAGGAGAGAAATGCACATGATACTGTTAACTTACACATGTGCAGTACTTATTCATGTGTCTCCGTCCACACTAACTAGTGAAAAACCAGCTGCAATCTATGGTCATTTTAGAAACTAGCTGTATAAGGGTTAGATTTTAAAGAGATTTTTTTTTTCCATTAAATCATTTATTCCTTTTTCAGCAATGTGTCCCGTTTCCCTCCCCATATCCTTGCCAGAAACTAGATAATAGAAAACTAATGTATTAGTCATATGCTGGGAACATTAAGTAACAATTATTTGGTGTTGGACACAAGAAGTCACCTTGCCATCGGCTCCTGGTGATGCAGAAAATGTAGCTTGCGGTTTCTTCATATCATCATCAGATGAACATTCTGAACACACAAAATGATCTAATTTCTTTGCTTCTTCGATGGTCATGCCCACACAAGCAGGATGATACCTACAAAAAACCTACAAAGATTGAAATGTGTGTTCTATAGAGCATAAAGAGACACTCAACATGTAAAGAATGTGAGTCTTGGACACTCATTAGATTTTAACTCTTCTACAATTCACATAGAAGTTATGTCCACAAAGTTCTATGTTGATGATGACTGCAGTAATTTGCAGCTCCCGTATTTCATAAACGTTATATGAAAATACATGTCCTAGTATACTTTTCAAAACATGCATGGAAACAATTAACAGATGGAATAAGCCTCTGCATCATCAAATTTCTATTGGTCACGCATATATTGAAATAAAAGAAACGACAGAACCCATAATCATTATAACAACAGCCCCCCACAAGCACATTGACACTTTCGGGCAGACATAAATTCCATCCGTCACTGAACTTTTAGCTGTGAAGCTCAGATGTCACAAGTGAATGTACAACGCATTATATATTCACCCGTTTCTTCTTTGATTTGTTTTACTTTTACTTCACAAGTAAAATGCTTTTTCAAGACCAACATGCAAAGGGCTTGCACAGGTAGATGCAGTTCTATACAAGAGTTTTAGGACCATACATGAGCTTCCAATAGAACTTACAACTTTCTAACACCCTTTAGGCCACTCATTCTGCAGGTGGTGAGATCACATAACTGATAATTCCTTCAACCCAGTAAATAGCATCCAATGCTCAAATTCAACATACAAAAATAAACACCCAAAAAATAAATTCAAAATTCCAAGCACAATACTAGTAAAGAAAGTCAGGCAGAACACACTGATTTTACCAATCCTTGCACCCTTCACATTGTACCATGAGGTCATCCGGGTTATATGGCATCTCACACTTGCAATACCTTCAAAACACAAGCCAAAAAAACAAACCTTTAGTTCTAAAACCCAAAATCCCCTTCCACACAATCAATAACCCAAAACAAAATATACATAAAATGGTAAGACATGTTTTTGATCCCCCAACATAACCCAAATTTTAATAGTAATACCTGAAAAATTTAATAGGTTTTTACTTACATTTACCGAAAATCTCGACTTTCACTTAAAATATATCTATTAAAATGTATTAAATTGCTTTAAAGACTAAAAACCACATGCCAAAATCTGGTGTCTGTCAAAATGTAAATTTAAAATCTCGAGTTCACTCAAAACACAAATGCGAAAATGTATTAAATTGTTGTAAAGACTAAAACCCCATACAAAAATTTCGTGTTTCTGTTAAAATGTTAATAGTAAAAACTGTACTAATTCTTTTATAATGACTAAAAATCCTTTACAATGAAAAATGTAGATACTTAAAATTATAACAAAACAATGTACATAAATGTGTTTCTGCATTAAATTTTCATAGGACAAAAATCGGATTATTTATAGAGAAAAACATATATGAGAGGAAACTCACACAGCAACACGGTCAGGAGTGAAAGCCCCAGTGGCAGCCTTGTACTCAAATCTACAATAGTAATCCTCAGCACCCACATTCTCCAGCTTGGTGTAGTTCTTGAAAGAGTGTACTACGCATTTTCCTTCTATGGTGTGAGCACTCTGCACATCATAGTGGTCGGAGAGAAAAAGCTCTTTGGCACCATGGAACTGTCTGCGACCCCCAATGGACTCTTCGGGTCTGTAGTACCACCTCACACGCACCTTCACGTTGTTCCTGTTGTCCTGCTCGATCTTCTCCACGCGCGCCACGTAAGGGGGCTTCGACGTGTCCGATGGCCGCATCAGAACGCAATCACCGGCTGCAGCACCAAAGAACCAAACGCTGTCAACGACAACCCCATCTCAAAAAAACATCATGGGCAGGCCCGAAAACAGGAAAAGGAAACGTTTTGAACGAGGAAAACGCAAAGGGTGGTTGTGTGTGTTACCTCGTACGACCTTGTTGGTTCCTCTTATGGTGTACGAGTCCAAGTCCTTTCTGCCTGGCCTCGTTTTCGCCATGCGGTGCGCGAAGGGTGTTTTGGGGAATGAGGAATTTTTTTTTTCAGAGGGCTTGTTGTTGGGTTAAAAGGAGAAGAAGAGGAACTGAGGAACCCTAAGGTGTGGGTTTGGGTGAGGGGTGACACTTTTTTTCTGTGAGGGAAGGGAGTGACTGTGACGCTTCGCCTGCGATTTTATTACTGTGGCTTTTTGGGAATGTAATGCGACGATTCTTGGTCGGTTCATTACATTTGACTGCTTCGTAAATTTTTCTTGTCCTGAGATCTGCGCTAAGTAATTTCCTAATCCACTCCATTCATCTTGTGACATGTCACATTTATGGAAAAACCATAATTTTCTTGTTTAATGGTGGACTTTTGGAAACAAATCTTACTACATAGTATTCTTAGCATTCAATAGATGTGCTTCACTTGTAGGAAAAATGTGTTAAAACGGTTGGGTTGAATTAGAATGATATTTCGTCAATTGGTATATATAGATTGAAAAAAAAATCTACATAATTAAATTATGTTTTACATTTGTAAGTTTTATATTTAATGATACTTGTTAATTTTAGAACATCACAACAAAATTAAATAATATTGTATAAAAGGTAATATGTTAAAATAGGTTTGTTCTTATAAGTTTAAATTCATTAAAGAGATACAATTTAAAATAAAATATTATAGCATAAATTGCTCTAGATTATATTATGTTGGATTTGTTTAATTTGAATTTTCAATTAAGTCGACTTTTAAACTTGTGAATTAAGTCATTCATTATAATTTTTAAGAAATCAAAGTATTTAAAGAAGTGGAAGATTTACTATGAAATAAAAGTACATACAAACTTTATAAGAAGATTATATAGAGTATAAGATTTTTCTTTTTGTTTTTGAGAAAATACTTAGTTAGAGCAAGTCATTTAATGAAGTAATCTAAATATAAGAATATCATAGAGAATTATATTGGTTCACCTTAAACATTTAAACTATTTTTGGTACTCATTTAAATAAACTCTTGAATAAACTAATAAAAAAAACTTAATACAAAGCAAGTGCCCAGGTATTTCTAACTTATATATCACAAATACACAATTTATCTCTTGTTATTCTCACTTAATCTCCCTTTAATACTAGAAACTATAATTATTATTAACTATATTTTCTCGATAGAAACAAAGCATAATACAATATCATAAATTATATGTGTTTTTTTTCATTTTAGTATCAATTGATAAGAATTAATTTCTTGTTTTAGATTCAACATTTTTATACATGGCAAAAATAGAATAATTGCAAATATTTATTCAAATATAACTAATTTAATTAATAAAGGTTTCATTTCTTATGTTGTTTAAAATTATTAGTTAAATCATGTAATGTGATTATCATTAAAGTAACTTTCCAGTAGAAATCATATTAGTCTCATTGAAACATTTCATTTATTAACTATGTTATGAATATTTGATAATCTAATCTTATTCAAGTAAAGAAGGTTCAATTTTAAACATAATGACCTATTAATTTTATTAAAAGATGTGAGTATGAATATATGAATATGTTTAATGAGGTATTATAATAAGAAGTAATCATTTCATTTGTTTATTTGTTTATTTGTTTATGTTTATTCTCATCAAAATTCTTAATCAAGGGTTGTCTAGTACTTCTAGACCTATGTGAGATTAGATCATCTTGGCCTTAACAATTTTTCCATTTTATGAAAAATATTATTGTTGGAATAGCTAAGTCTAGAAAATAGGTTGAATAAAGCCCTAGACTATGTGAGAACATACTACCATTTTGTAGACAAATAGAACCAATAACATAAAACAAATTTATACTAATTCATCTAAACTCATACGTTACGTCTAGTTCTTTCTTAAGGTAACTTCTTAAGAGGTTCCATTAATCAGTTCAATTACTACAAACAAGTACATAAACTACTTATGATTAACATAAGTATACAAATCACTCCTAACTATCTTATCTTATTCTCCTCCTAAGATTAAGATCTCAAAACAAGAAAGTAACAACTCTCAAAGAGTAGACTATTTAAGCTTACTAGATTAACTTCACAATTGAAGGATTACAAAGGCTATGACTTATTCACAAAGAAAACTTAAGCAAACTTATGAACATTAGAAGGTATATAATCAATTGATGTTCTTTCATCTTCACTTTGTTTTCTTTATAAAGAGTCTTTAAAATGATTCTTCCTCTAATAATGTATTTCTTCAATTCTTTTTTTTTAATTAGATACGATCAACTACTTGAGTCATGCTTTGTATGGTTGATTAGAAGGTTTAATAAAGGAAAGTTTGGATTCTTCTTTTCTAGAAAGGAAAAGATTCAAAAATATACAATCAAGATAATTAAATTATTCGTAGTGTGTTTCTTTTGTTTCCTTTTTTATATCTTATAGGGATGTTTGTAGCATCTTTTATTTCTAAAAAAACATTTTGAGTAACCAATGTGTTTAAAAAGTACTTATGACTTCTTTGATTTTATTTGATTTGTAAAATGTTTTTTAATATGGTTTGTATTATATGTAATTGAATTTATAGTTATTAAGCTCATTTTGATAGATCACCTAAGATTTATGAGTTCGATTAGACAATCCAATGCATTATGGCTAGTATAAAACACATATTAGAAGGTTCACGTAGTATAAATATGTATTTTTCTAGCGTAACATTTAATATTTAATATCATCAAATTTTTTCTTGGAAAGATATATAAGGATTAAACACTGAAAGTCTTAGAATCTTCTTTCTGTTGATCACATCTAATAATATAATATATATATATATATATATATATATATATA